AATTTTATTACTATTTTTAACATCCCCCTTAAACTTGTTTCATTACTCCAAGCGCCATCCTTAACTTTTCAAAAGCGTCAATCTTCAAAGGCTTGGTAAAAATATCCGCAATTTGATCTCCAGACTTCACACTCAAGCTCCACAACTTTATTAGATATGCAATCTCTAATAAAATGATATCTCGTATCGATATGCTTGCTTCTTTCATTAAATACCGGGTTCTTGGCTAAATCTATAGCCGATTTGTTGTCAACAAAAATCTTTGTAGCATCCTTCTGTGGTTGGTGAAGTTCTTCCAACAAGCTCCTTAGCCAAATTGCATGGCAAACACACGAACAAGCTGCTACATACTCCGCTTCATAAGTTGACAAAGTCACAATTGGTTGCTTCTTAGAATTCCTTGTAAATGTGGAATTTCCAAGAAAGAAAACAAATCCAGTAGTACTTTTCCGATCATCAATATCACCAGCCCAGTCACTATCACAATATCCCATGAACTTGGATTCTTTAGAAGATGAATAAAGAATTCCATAATCAAGCGTATCTTTGATGTACTGAAGTATTCTTTTGGCTACCTTTAAGTGCGAGGTAGTAGGAGTTTCCATAAAGCAACTCAGGAGTCCAACTCCAAAAAGAATATCCGACCTTGTACATGACAAATACCTTAAGCTTCCAACAAGACTCTTGAAAAATGTGGGATTGACTCTATCTCCATCTCCATGCTCGGATATTTTAACTCCACATTCAACGGGGGTGCTTACGGGATTGCAATTCTCCATCTCAAATTTCTTGAAAATTTCCTTTGAATACTCTCCTTGAGAAATAAAAATGACATCCTTCCTCTGTGCTACTTGAATTCCAAGATCCAATGTCCGTCATCTCAAATTCTCTAGCCATTGCTTTCTTGAATTCTTCAAACATCTTTGGATTATTTCCTGTAAATATCAAGTCATCTACATACAAGCAAACAAGTAAGATGTCACCATTTTTAGCAATCTTTACATAGAGGGCATGTTCATATGGACACTTAGAAAAACCATTTGCTTGGAAATATTTGTCAATTCTACTATTCTAAGCTCGCGGGGCTTGCTTCAAACCATATAAAGCCTTCTTTAATTTCCAGACTTTATCATTTTGTCCTTCAACCTTATATCCCAAAGGTTGATCAATATAAACCTCTTTCTCCAATACGCCATTCAAGAAAGCCGACTTCACATCCATTTGATGGATTTTCCATTGATTTTGTGCCGCCAAAGCAATGACAAAGCGAATTGTTTCCAAATGAGCAACCGGCACAAATACTTCATCATAGTCAATACCGGCCTTTTGCTTGTAGCCTTTAGCTACCAATCTTGCTTTGTACCTTTCTATTTCTCCCTTGAAATTCTTCTTTAGCTTGTACACCCATTTGACTCCAATGGTGCTTTTGCCTTTTGGAAGTGTGACTAACTCCCATGTATCATTCTTTTTTATAGCTTTGATTTCTTCATCCATTGCATCCCTCCATTTGGAATTTTGGCAAGCATCTTCAAAGCTTAGAGGCTCACTGTCCACCAGCAAACAAAAATGAGTAAAATCATACAAGTCATTTCTTACCACTTCCGTGTTTTCATACAAGTCACAGAGACTTCTACTCTTGTGAGGTGCTTCACTTGAACTTGAGCTTGATTCCCCAACTTCTTGATATTGTGGCGGAGGTGTTGAAGGTGGTGTGATAGCCTGCTCCCCATCTTCTTCTTCATCATCTTCAAAGAATGGACTAAAAGAGTATTCTTGCTCTTTAGATTTCCACTCCCAAGCATTATCTTCATCAAACTCAACATCTCTACTTATGGTGACCTTGCCATTTTTGGGGTTATACAATTTATAACCTTTAGAACTTTGATCATAGCCAATGAAGACATACCTCTCACTTTTGTCATCAAGCTTAGACCTCTTCTCATCTGACACATGTGCATATGCGATGCTTCCAAAAACCCGCAAATGAGCAACTTTTGGCTTGAAACCGCTCCATGCCTCTTGTGGTGTTTTTCCACGAACACCTTTGGTGTGTCACCGATTTGATAAGTACACCGCACAAGCAATGGCTTCAGCCCAGAACTCTTTTGGCATATTTTTGCTCTTCAACATACTCCTCGCCATGTTGAGAACAGTTCGATTCTTTCTCTCCACGATGCCATTTTGCTGTGGTGATCTCGGAACTGTCAAGTAATGACGAATTCCATTTTTCTCACATAAAATATTGAATTCATTTGAAGTGAATTCTTCGCCATTATCGGACCTAAGTGACTTAATTTGATAGCCACTTTGCTTCTCCACCATGCTCTTAAACTTTTTGAAGGTTTCAAACACTTCCGATTTTGCCTTCAAAAATAAACCCAAGTTTTTCGAGAAAAATCATCAATGAAAAGTAAAAAATAATTACTTTTACCAAGTGAAGATGGCTTGATAGGTCCGCACACATCTATGTGAATTAACTCGAGAGGGCATCTTGCTCTTGTCAAAGAATCTTTAGGAAAGCTTTTCCTTGCTTGTTTTCCAAAGAGACATCCTTCACAAAGTTGGTTGGGATGATCAATTGTTGGCAATCCATTCACCATGCTTTCCTTCTTCATCAACCTTAGGCTATCAAAATTCAAGTGATCAAATCTCATATGCCAAAGCCAAGATGAATCTTTGGCACATGAAAGCAAGCACCTCGGAACATCATTTTGAAGATATAAGATGAACATTTTATTATTAGCCATAGGTACTTTGGCTAACAATCTTCCCTTTTCATCTCTCATATACAACTTTTTATCTTTCAAATGAATGTCATAATTTTTCTCCAAAAGTTGTCCCAAACTTAAAATATTATTTTTCATCTCCGGCACATACAAAGCATTGGAGATTAATTGATGACTTCCATCTTTTAAGCGAATTAAAATCGTACCTTTTCCTTTGATTTGAACTCGCGAAAAGTCTCCAAAAGTGATTGGGCCACCATTCAGCTCCTTAAGCTCCACAAATAAATTTTTCTTTCCACAAATATGACTACTTGCACCGGAGTCAAGGTACCATTTGTTCTTTTCCACACTTTCTTCTCCTTTGCATGCAAGAAGTAGAGTGGCATTTTCATCTTCATTTTTGCTCTCCACAAAGTTGTTTTTCTCCTCCGAATTATCTTTACATTCCCAGGAAAAATGTTCAAATTTATGACAAGTATAACATTCAACATTCGATTTGTCATACCTTCCTTGATTTTGTTTCCATCTTTGCCTCTTCCACGACCTTTCTTTGACTATAGTCTTGGCTTTTATTGTCTCTATTTGGTGGTTAACTACCACCTCTTCCTCCTCTACCACGACCTCTTTGTTGCGAACCACGCCTTTCATCTTTCTCCTTGAAGGAAAGTTTTGCTTGCAACGCCTTTTCAACCGATTCTTCTTTCGGTTTCTTCAGTTTTTCTTCATGGGCTTGCAAAGACATGGAACACGTCTGTATTGTTATCGATTCAACGAGGCAGTGTTTGATGGAAGAAACAACTTCAGGTTCATAGAAGATCTCTTCACAGCGGATATTTCGATTTGAGGTACTATTGGCATATTAGAGGGAGTAAGGTGGCTTACGAGCCTGAGGACAACGATATTGCATGTTGGGATCACTTGGGATGAGTTTTTGATTGAGGTCCATAGTGTGCTGGGAAAGATTAGTGATGCCATGAAGGCGGGTCATGAGTAATCCGAAGGAGTTGGGTCCGTTCAGAAGTGACTTGGTTTAGCATGGTTGTAGAGGTGCTCAAAGCGGCTACTTGATGTCATTTCTAAATAATCCTTGTAACATTTGAGTCTTTCCTTGAGTAGATGGTCTATTGAAAACAGCCTAAAGTAGAGGTAAGGTTCGCGTACACACAATTCTCCCTAAACTCGGCTTGTAAAATTTTACTGGGTTATTATCGTTGTTGATGTTGTTCCTTGAAACACTGAGATTCGACCCTTGTAAGCCTTATGCCATTTCTTTTTTTGAACAAGCATAACTTGGGGACAATATACAAAAATCGAGGCCCAATTCACCATCCACGTTGCAGAAATCCAAACAATGCATAATAGTGTACGTACTCGTGTTAGATAGTTACACATCTAATACGTACAAGTAAGTTTAATAGACAAGGGAATCTATTATTTGAAGTTTATAGGCTCATACAGTGATCTTAAATTAATAAATGGACGCATAGTCGAATATTTATAAATATATACTCCCTCCGTTCCAATTTATATGAACCTGTTTGACTGGGCACGAAGTTTAAGAAAAAAATGAAGACTTTTCGAACTTGTGATCCTAAACAAGCCCAAATGGGCCCCAGAATATTTGTGTGATTATAAAAGCTTCTCATTAAGGGTAGAGTTGTAAGTTTAAGCTAAATTGTTACCAAATTTAGAAAGGGTTCATTCTTTTTGGAACGGACCAAAAAGGAAATAGGTTCACATAAACTGGAACAGAGGGAGTAATGAATTTTAATATATTTACAAGGTCAGGACTAAAGCTACCGAGTTCCTGGAACCCACATCTTAGCCTCTAGATCCGCCACATGTTTAATACGTTTTCCTTGAAAATTTAAATATTTTTTTAAAAACTGGTTTTATTATATTGTAAGATTGCCAAGTAAAATGAATTAAATTATACACCTAAAGGCTAATTCGATTTGCAGTGTAAATAAAAATTTGAAGTAAAATTCTATATCATTAATACATTGCTTATTTACGATATAAAAACATTGCATTACTAATACAATCTGTGTTACTAGTATGTATTTGGTTTTTATTTTCCAGTATAATACTCATAATACTAATAACTACACCTTATATATTAATTTAGTTATATTACTATTAATACGACATAAAACATTAACTAAAAAAATATGAACATACGTTAGGTATTTAGAAATACAAATACTAGAGTAATTGTTGACTTTAATGTCTCAATCTCCCGTAAAAAAATACTTGGTGTTATTATTTATCGACTATCGTTAAAAAGGAAAAAAGAACAAAGAAAAAGGAAGAACAAGAAGCGCCGTCGCCGATCTGTATCTGATGGTCTGAAAGAGAGATAACAACAGCCGTCAGATAAACTAACACGAGGAAAACTATATCGGTTAAGAAAAGCTAATAGCGCGGCGGGTTAAAATTGCAAAAAACAATCTCGTAAGTTGTCTCTCTTTCCATATTTGGTTCTTTGTATGTAATTAAGCAATCTCATTTCTTCTCTCTCTCTCTCTTCGCGGCGAAGAGCGAAAGCCAAACGAGGGTTTTCTTCAAGGGTTTGGTGTGATTGATTGGGCTACCTGCTCTATTTGGATATCCAGGTTTCAATATTGGGTTCTTCTAGAAGCTTCATCAATTTTCTATCTCAGCTTCATACTAACTTTTCTATTGGATTTTGAAGCTCCAATTTTGTGTCTCCAATATCAATTAGGGTTTATGTGAATCTATATATGCTTTATTTATTACCCCAAATGCGTTAAATTCGTAATAGGGAATAAATGAGAGTCTCCCTATTGGGTTACAGGGATGTTTCCATGTTGAATTTACTGTTACGTGGAAAATCTTAATATTAACTGTTGGACGAAGGAGAAAATTGGTGCTGTTCGGTGAAATTGATTTTGCCCATTTGTCTACTGAGAACCATAACGAATTAGTTTATCCCGACATTGTGGAAATTGTGAAAGTCGTCTCGAGGTAATGCTATTGATGTCTTTGGATCCAACATGGCGTATTTATACCCATTAGTAGGCGAAAGCCTATCACTTCAAAACAATTAATCAGGACCGTGCCATCTTTGCTTCATTTTTAATTATTGAGACTGATTAAATTTGGTTGGCATGTGCAGACTTTAGGAGTTTATTTATCATATAGTACTTACTGTTCCCGTACAGTTCACTGGGCAGAGGGAATTGAACAAGTGTTTTAATAAGGGTTCGGGTGAAATTATGGGGAAGTCACGCAAAGTTTCAAGAGATTATGTGTCTGGGTTTGTGCCGGATTATCGTCATGCTGTTGGAACAATGGCAGAATCTGAGGGTTTTGGTAGCTCAGGACGAGTTGAAACTGAAATGACAGCTTCAGATGATTCTTGTGCACCGAAGAAGAGATGCATTAATTTCAGTGCTGATGATTACGATCAATTTGGTGTACCTACTCAAGTTTTGTCGTTGTCCAAGATGTCATGCTCCGAGAGAAAAGATTTGAAAATAAGGTTGAGGAATGAACTTGAACATGTTAGAATACTGCAGAAGAAAATTGCTTCTTTTAGCTCAAATTTTGGAGTTCTTTCACCTGTTAGTGATATACATAGTTGCAGTGATGGGCGGAGGAGGCCGGGGGCGGAGATATCTCAGAGTTTTATGAAAGAAGCAAAAGTACCTCGCGGAAAGAAAAAGACTGCTCAAGGAAGAAATGGACCTCGAACAAAAGGATTAGGGGCTCGGCGGCCTGAGCCAGTGAAACAGGCCGTCTCAAACACTAGCATAGTGATGTTTATGAAACAATGCGAGACACTGCTAAACCGGATGATGTCACACCAATATGGTTGGGTCTTTAATGCGCCCGTTGATGTGGTAAAACTAAAAATCCCAGACTATTTCACTGTTATTAAGCATCCAATGGATTTGGGGACCGTAAAATCAAAGTTGATGTCAGGGGAATATTTAAGTCCTTTGGAATTTTCTGCAGATGTGAGGCTCACCTTTAAGAATGCAATGACATACAATCCACCAGGAAACGACGTTCATATTATGGCTCAAACACTTAGCAAATTTTTTGAGGCTAGATGGAAACAGATAGAGAAGAATATTCCTGTAGCAGAAGAAGAACCTTTACCTTCAAAGTCGAGTGTTATTTTAGAAACTGAAAGTGAAGCTCCTTTAGTAGTACCACCTTATAAGAAGAAGAAAATTGCTCCATTTGAAAACAAGGGTAGATCAGAACCGGTAAAGCAAGTCATGAGTGATTTTGAGAAGCATAAACTCAGTATGGAGCTGGAGGCATTACTGGCTGAATTACCTGAAAAGATAATTGATTTCCTAAAGGAGAGCAGCCTTCATGGAAGTCAAGTTAGTGAAGATGAGATCGAGATTGATATTGATGCTCTCACTAATGATACACTGTACAAGTTACGGCAGCTTTTGGATGAGTATCTACTGGATAAACAGAAAAGTCAGGCAAAAGCTGAACCTTGTGAGATGGAGGTGAATAGGATAATGTGATTGCATAGTATCTTACTTCATTCTTTATATTACTTTACAATATGCCTTTATGTGCATATTAAAGTTATCATATTATTTTTTATATGCTGCAGCTTCAGAATGATTCTGGTTTTAGCAATTCATCCATGCAGCCATGCAAAGGTGATTTCTCATTAGTACATGCTTGAAGATTTAGAGGAAGTAGAGCTGTCAAGCTGATATATGGTGATTAATAGAGTTTCTGATTCTCTCTGTCTTCTATGTATTTCTAAATTTTATTTAAAGACAATGATCCAGCAGATGAGGAAGTTGATATTGGAGGAAATGATCCACCTGTCTCAAGTTTCACACCCATGGAGATTGAAAAGGACCTTGTTCGTAGAGACAATAAATGCAGCAGCTCAACTAGTTCTAGAAGTGATTCAGGCTCTTCATCTAGTGGTTTGTGCTATTAAGAAATTCTTGCATAACTTGTGGCTTTATTTATGTTGATTACAAATTTTATCTCGCTAGACACAAAGACTGCTTTTTCTTTTTCATCCCCCCCCCCCCCCCCCCCCCAGTTTTTTTTTTTGGATTTATTGCATTTTCTTGTGGGAAGTCTTTGCATGTGATATACTTGATGAAAATCAATTTTCTCGTTCTTCAAATAGAACTTCATAGTGTTGGGTGGATTGGTGTTTGGTTCGTTCTGAGAGGGTTGCTGTATTTTTACAAGTGGGTCATTTTGTAACTCGTTCTGCCTGTGATGATAATCTTTCTTCTCCAGTATTTCTGATAGGCTTGACAATGGATTTTACTGTATAACCACTGTATCCTTTGAGTTGCCTGCTGTTTCCCATTTGTGTAAATGTAGAAGTATTGGCCAATTTCCTATATCTAACTATGTTTTTTACGGCAGTGCAAAAGAATCCTGTTGGTGTCACCAAAATAAAAAGGAAAAGAAAAGAGAGGAAAAGAACAATAGAGAAAAGAGAAAACTTTTGTGTCTCCCTTCTATCAAATCTGCCAGTACCTCTCACGAATTGACACATGACCCCCCTCCTCTCTCTCTCTCTCTCTCTCTCTCTCTCTCTCTCTCTCATACACACACACACATACATTTGCTTATATTTGGGTTTAAGGAATAGTTTTAGGTTTATATTTGCTCTTGAAATTAGAGCTTTTGACATGTAAGTCAGGGACTTTTAATACTGGGAACTTATTGTTTTGAGTTTTGACATCTTTTTGTTAGTCATGTAATTTCAGTGAGCTGTGGAAAATATACTGGTGTTCTTTTTGGTTTGGCAATGAGAAAATTGCTGGTGTGATATGTTTCTTTTTATGACTTTTGTGATTATTTTTCTCCTGGTACCTCGTGATCTCTTTAAAATTGTCTTGTTTGATAAGTTCTTTAAAATTATGTGAATGAAGGTTTCTTCTCCCAACATCAATAGATTTACATCCAAAAAAATTATGTGAATGAAGGTTTTAAAAAGCCTCTGGTTCCTTTTCCTTCTCAAAAAAAAAAAGCCTCTGGTTCCTTTCACATCCGAGTACTTGTCCTTTGTCCCCACCCAATTTGGATTGCTTGTTGAACAAGAATAAGTTGGCGATCTAATCGCTATCCTAGATAAAAATGAAAAAGTTTGATTAGTATATGCAAATAAATCACAAGTTAATGCTTACATTTAAGCACTGTTTACAAATTAGAATTCGCTTTAATAGGATGGTCTTTCAGATCCGTTTCCATCTTCTATGTCATATTGTCCTTCTACTTTGTTTTTTTCTTCAATCCTTGACTTTAGTAGCACAACCTTCAATTGTCCCATTCGTCCTTTTGTTAGGAGCAACACTGTTGAGATCTTATAGCCTGGAGAAAGATAAACGTGTGTATTATAGCCTCTCACTTCTAAATCTGATCATGATTTCTTCCTGAGCTGCTCTGCTGCATCTGTATGGCTTGAAATATTGTGGCAAGACTCAGATGGTATTGCTTCTTCCCACTATGGCCTCCACCATTTAATATTGAAAAAAATTCAGGTGTTTGAAGCTTCTTCATGTGGATCCAACTATTGATACTTCCCTAGTAGAAATTCCTCAATAAGTAGCAGTGGGTTTAACTAGCAGGAGGGTGATTGCAAGATCTTGCGAGTTTTATATATACATTACAATTGCTTATCATTAATAATGAACAAGGCTTAGTGTATTTTAGTAGCTCTCGCTTCTGTCCTTTCGCCCAACTGAATATTACACCGATAGCTTCCTGCACTGTAAAGAACTTGCTATTTTTCCTTTTTTGCTTATTGTTCTCTATTTTGAGGTACATAGTACTAATAAATTAGATATGTTCTTTTTGTTTATCATTAAATTCAACACTTCTTTTGTACATCGGAGACTTGCTCCACATATTGAGTAAGGTGTCCTATGTATTCCTGGTTAGTGGAGAGAACAAATTTTTAAGGTATAAGATGCCTTAGCCTTCCACATTCGAACACTTGTATGAAATCGGAAGGTGCAAGAGTTCTTAATCCGCTGGAGTTAATATGCTTTATTCAATTAGGACTTCATTACCTGTTAAACAGTCTGTGATTAAGTGAACTGTGTACAGTGAGCTTGAGGCAGTATTTTTCCTACTTCTCACTCAGATTGTTGGATGCTTGTCTTCTTAGATACAGACTCCGGGAGCTCTTCTAGTGGTGAATCTGATGGTGCTAATGGTTCAATTCCCTTAACCAACCCAAAGGTGTGACAGATGGGATTTGTTGCCTTATTTTATGGGTTCTTTTGTGGCTCATTATCATCTCTGACTTATTTTCTCCCTTGCTAATTGATTCTGTTCCTCAGCAGGTGACAGTGAGTTCTGGGTTGAGCTTAGAACAGAAAGAGCTCAATCAACAAGAGTCTAGAGGTTGTCAATCTGTAGAATCCATAAGATTTGTTTTCTTGTTGTTTCTTGTAGCTGCACATTTTGGTTCTCACTGGGAAGTGGAAGATTTTACCAATTTTTTTTTGCTCAATATGAGTGTGACATTGTGTTTGCACTCATGTTCGACAGATTCCTTGGATGGCTTTACAGAGCGGAATTCACAACCAAAGTCTATTTTAGGTGAACCCAATGATCATCGTGAGGGTAAGCAATGGTAATTGATGAAGAAAATGTGTGCTAATTAGTTATGCGGCATCATCTCACACCGTGTGCTGTAATCTTTTAGGGGAGAGTGCTCCACCTGAGAGGCAAGTCTCCCCTGAGAAACTTTACCGTGCAGCGTTGTTGAGGAGTCGTTTTGCAGATACCATATTAAAAGCGCAAGAGAAAACCCTTGAGAAGGTAGGGCTAACAATTGTTGCTGTCACCCTTGTTGGAATTTGATCTGTATGGAACTTTGTTTGGCACTGACATTTCTTCTTACCGTATTTTAGGGTGAAGTGTGGGACCCTGAGAAGCTGAAGCTTGAGAAAGAGGAGCTTGAAAGGCGAAAGCGAGAAGGTCTGATTATTTTTAGTCTGCACGGATTTCACAATAACATTTGCGGGAACTTCCTGTTTATTTCTGTCTACTTATGCAGAGAAAGCCCGCTTAGAAGCAGAAGCTAAGGCCGCAGGTGAGGCCCGAAGAAAAGCTGAAGCAGAAGCTGCTGCAGAAGCCAAAAAGAAACGAGAACTTGAAAGAGAAGCTGCACGCCAGGCTCTGCTGAAGGTAAGGACATCCTAGCTGGGGTCAGATTAGTTTTGATCATCTCCTACTTGTGCAACTTGTAATTGTATTTTTTCCAATAGATGGAAAAGACAGTTGAAATCAATGAGAACAGTCAGTTTATGGAAGATCTGGAATTGTTTAGAGCTGCTCCAGATGCACAATTAGAGAGGTTCACTGAAGAGACGAGCCCTGATCACTCTCAAAATGGTTTTGGTAGTTTCAAATTTAAGGCAAGTAGTAACCCATTGGAGCAACTTGGATTGTATATGAAGGGAGATGATGAGGATGAAGAAGAAAATGAATCACAAAGTATTCCAGATTTATCAAATTGTTCTGAGGACATATCAAAAGATCCGGAGAAAGGAGAGATCGATTGAGATTTTAAAAACTTGAGCTGATCAAGAAGTTATAACAGGTGATTTCATTCTGAATGCTCGCATGCTTTGACAGGCAATGCTTCGCCTGTTCCTCATGATGTTGATTTGAAGTTTTGATGCTTTTCCATTCAATGTTGCTGCAGAAGACGTTATTTGCGAAAAAAGTCCAGTTCACTTTACCTTTCTGTTCTGTTGTTTCTCTAGCTTGTGTAAAAATAGGAATCAAGATAAGTTAGTCGCAGTCCAGCCAAAGTATCTGGGATGCAGATGCTGGGTTGCAAACAGTTTTGGTGGGGTTGACGAATCTAGATTTAGGTTGCTGCTTAATTTAATTTAGTACAAACAATAATTGTCTGGTAGAAGCTTAAGCTTTAATCATCCTGACTTCTGCCAAGGCACTCATAAAGCTCCTTTTCCTTATTTTTTTTCCTTTTTTCCCCGTTTTTAGGACTGTGATTTTGTGTATTGAGTAAACAGATGGGTATAAATTTGTTATAAGTTGTAGAAGTTTTCATTCGTACTTGTTGATTTAATTGCTCGTAAATGCTCTGCCAAGCTGAAGCATAATTGTGCAGAAACTAAGGAGTTGGATTCTTCATTCATTATAAGGGATAACTATGCAACTCTTGAGGCTTCTATTTGTAACTAACCTACCTTATGATTTTGATATATTGCTTGAATATTTCTTTTATGGTGTAAAGGAAATATATTGTACCTATCAACCAAATGGACAAGATTGTTTTCTTACATGTTAATTTTCCTTTCACAATGTTTAGTCCGTTTTAAAAACATTGTCTTAGTTTGACTTGACACAAACTTTAATAAAGAAAAAAAAGACTTTCGAGATATGTGGTCTTAAATATACCATAACATTCGTACGGCTGTAAAAGTTTTAAAACTTGTGGTCTGAAATCTGTTAATTAACTTGTGTGGCTATAAATTTCTTATTAAGGAAATATTGAAAGGTGCTAATCTTTTTAAAACACACTAATAAGGAAATAGTGCCAATCTTTTTGAAATAGAAGGAGTATATTCTTACATCTTATAAAATTCCCATTCATTGCGATACTCTTCGTTCCAATTTCGTTCTTCAAAATTCTTTTGCATAATGAAAAGCAAATAAAAAATGAACAAGTAATTAAAACTAAAAATTTTAAATATAAAGAGAAGAAACCCTAAAAGGGGTAAAGAAATTACCTTTTCAGTTCTTTTGTGTTATTTTTTGTAATTTTGTTTTCTCGATCATCTTTTTGCGTACATATATTTTGAAAGACTACATCTATCTATATATCTATATAATCCTGGGAATAGTAAAGTTGATATGGCACCTCTCATAGTTAAGGATTGCTATTTATCTTTTACCTGTTTTTTTTTACTTTTCCACCAATTTTTTCCACAATTATGTTCATAAAAATATTCAAAAGGTGCATTCACTTTCTCAATTAATAAGAATAACTGCCACCAATCTGTATTATTAAGAAAATAGCGCTTATCAAAACAAGAAACGTTCTTCTTCAGTACCCAAACAAATCCCCACTCCTCTTATCTTTCTTAATTAATGGTGAAGGAGTTAATTTTACATTGAAATCAGAAACGGAAAATTCTCATATTCATAAATTGATTCTACTGCCTCTTCAAATTAAAAGAATGTAGCAACACATTTTTCTTGTATTATCTGCTACGTTTTAGATATTGAGGACACCAGCAAAAAAGGAACATTTCTGCTCAAGGCGACTTTGTTTTAGATCATTTTCACGTTCAATTGTGTTCTTGAGCTTTATTTGAATTCCATTCTTTTCCTCACGTATTTTTTCACTTCAGGTGAAGTATTTGTTGCTTTCTTTCCTTAGTTATCATGGAATTTTCTATTTTAATATTTTACAATTTTGTTCAGAACTGTGTTACTTATCAATTGTACTGTATATCGATATATTGTTATCGTATGTGGGATTCAACTTCTTAATGCAGGAAAAAAGTATTTGAATAAGATTTTGTGCTATTTACTTAATTAGCAACATCTATCTTTATGTCAAGTACCCCTTTTTAATGTTGATATAGTATTGTTGTATGTGAGATTTAATTTCTGAATGCTGGAAAAAATTATTTCAATAAGATTTTATGTTATTTACTTAATAAGCATCATTTACCTTCATGTCAAATAGCCCTTTTTTGCCCGCATATCAAGTACGCCCACAATTGTTGTAATTAAAGAGAGCTAAGAAATTGATGTCAATATTCTCGAGAACATATAGACGTGGGTTTTACTTTAAAACACAAGTTATTAACTAGAGTGGATATATATATATATATATATATATATATATATATGTATATGAGTTAATATACTACCAAAAAAATTACACAAAATAAATAAAAATTAGAAGTACTGAAATTTTACTGTGTTTTAGAAGCAATATTTTCTAGCAATGATGAGGTTTATATCTCGAAATATTCTGATCTAAGTAATAATCGGTGATCTTTTTTCTTTTTATTTCAGGTTGACACTCTCAACGAGATGTTCAATAGTTCAAGGCTAATAAACATATGGTTTGATGTTACTTCCTTTTTGTGTTTTGTTTCTTTGGATTTACACAACTTATATTCTTATTTGCATGTGATTGTGTCCTTAGGACTTGGCACCTCTCATAAGCCAAAAAAAACTAATTATCTTCTTTTCTCTAGCTTTGATATTTTTTTCAATTCATGTTAGAAGCTCAAAATATTACATAAAAAAATTAATGCTTTCATAAGAACTATTTCTTGCATAAGTCTCATCAAGGAATTAGGATTGTTTTGTGGTGTGCCTTTATATTTTCTTTTACCTTTGGTAAATTTTGTTTGTTATCTTAAATTTCGTAAAGTTATACTTATATTGGGGTGTTTTTTTTTTTTTTGTTTTTTTTCAGCATGTGGTGTACTCTTATATCTTCTTTATCTCTTCTTCCTACTAAAACAACTGAAAATCTTTTAAGTTGAAATTACATTATAAAATATGATCTTCCAGATCACTACTCCTACATATAAATAGGAACATGGACATTTAGAGAGAAGAGACATTAATTTCTAGCAGAACATAATTTAGAACGGTTGACGGTAAAAGAGACGACGAAGATAAGAAAATAGAATTGAGATAAAATTATGTTTTTGAGTCGGGAAAGAAAAAGGCTGATGAGTTAAGAATCTTCTTTATCTGTTTTTCTTATTTTATTATTTTTTCTTTGTTCAAACAAGAAAGTGTTCGTGAAAAAATTTCTTCACATGAATTTGATCGATTTTCACGGCAAATAAAGTTCGAGATTGAATTTCTTTTGGGTTTATATAAAGATCATTATAACCTTCATGATCAATTCCTAAAAGTATCTGGTAAAGACCAAAAAGGAATAGCTAGATTAACTTGAGATACTTGTGTCTTTTATATATTCCAAAATATATTATATGATTGTTAGTAATCTGTATTTGTAAAACAATTCTGGAGAAAATAAAATAACATAAACAGAAATGTAAACGAAATAACAAAAATCAATTCGAGCCCACTGAATTCACAGTGTTTCCTTAAGGAATTTAATCCCCTCCTAGTATTCAAGGTTATGAATTATTTTCTCCCAGGATAAAACGAATTACACACTGGTGTAGTGGTACTTCAAACCCCAGTGTTTCAGCGAACACAAAGTTCGGTAGCAAATCACACTTACTGTTGCTTTCTTTGAAGTTAAAATATGCAGAAGAAAGGAGAAGAACTCAGAAAATTCGTATTGAAATTCTGAGCAGAATAGTCTTGTATTTATAGCCAAAGTTGGGCTGAAATCTGAAGAGGTGCAACTCTTCAGAATGGTTGTTTATGCAAAACGGCCACAGCATAAATGCCATAACATAAATGGCTATTTACTTAACAATAAAGAGGGAAAATAAAGAGGGAAAATTAAAGAGGGTAGTTTAATTTTCAGTACACAACTGAAAAACGGATTGGATTTAATATTAATATTTATTTTAATATTAATATTCTGTTATTAAAACAAATATTTAATAACATTTCTGTTAAAATTTTACTATTAACAAATAAACTTGGTCCAAAAAATTAATCAATTCCGAAGCTGAGCGACGACGACGACGGCGCGAGGCTTGCCTTCTTCTCAACTCTTTAAGAGCTAGAAGAAGAGCAATTGCTTCTATACCCATAAAAAACCTCTTCCTCTTCCAATATGGGACAATGTCCCTTTGCCAAGTGGGGAAACTTAAAATTTCACTTAAAAATTTTATTTTCCTCCATTTCCCATTCACCCTATTTTAAGTATATCATATACTTAAAATTCCAACAATAATTATCTTATTTGTTTTATACTATCCGGTGGCAGATAATCAATTTCATGAATTTTACTTTAATCATGGAGATTCCTCTCTTTCAACAAAGTAAATTTCTTGGAGAAAACAGAAGAAGTACGGCAACATTAGTAAAACTTTAACAAAGAGACTGCTATTCACTACATTACTAGAACCAGGAGCACAAGAAGAAAAAGGGCTGAACATTCACAACAGAATTCAGTTATGCATTAATACTCGTAACTATTGCAATCAATGTATTATCTACTCATATGAGAATTTCAATAACCATTCAAGAATTAATGAGAACACTTCAGTGGCGGATGACTTTTGCGCTTCCTAGATAAATCAATTATTATTTTTTCATTTAGTAAGAGAATTCTAAGGGTCGGGGTGAGGGTTAACTAATATATATCAAGAGCAAGGAACGAGAGAATAGTGTAGATAATAAATTTGCGTCGAAAAAATAAAATCAACACCGAAAATATCGCAACAATTGTAGTATTTTATTTCGAATATTTGAGTGTTACTGTCCTTATGAATCCTCTGATTCTTCTTTCCAATTGTAATTAAATTCAAGGGCCTTTGAGCTTAATCTTGACTCTATGTTTGTTGCCACGAACGATGATCTTGTTCTTGAGCTTGAGCTTGATTGCTTGGACTTGAACTTGATTTCGTCTTCGTTCTTGAGCTTGAAATTGTTTGTTCTTCATTCTTGATCTTGAATACTTCAATTGTTCTTCGTTCTTGAGCTTGAACTTGATTGCTTGAAGCTTGAAACTTGTGGAGGAATTTGCAGCGTTTGATCCACGAGCTCTTTCTTGCTTCTTGTTATAACTTCTCGTGTCTTTTTTGAGTTATGAAGACCCCTATTTATAGTTGTGGAAGGGAGGAGTCATGATAAGAACAAACTCTTTCCGACCAATCAAATTGAAGTGTGATATGACTGCATTTGATTGGCCAGAACATGTCACTTGCACACGTGGCGCAATTTCATTGGCCTTTCAGTGTGACTGGGCATGCCTTGTCATTTTGACATGTGGCATGATCCTATTGGCTCTTCCACTTGACTTGGCGCGCCACGTCATTTGACACGTGACACCAAACTGGGCCTCTAGGAAGATGACATCTTGGGCTTAATGAAGTGGGCTCATTACTTTAGCCCAATTAAATGGGCTAGCCCAATGGATTAAGACTTATTTATTTAATCTATTTA